TGCAGGATGATCATCTCTTTTGGAAGCCGTTTTCTCGACTCCTGCTTTCTCTGAATCAAAGGGCAAGTTGTGGGAGGTATGTTCATAACTGGTAGATTTCGCTGCATCCGGTGCATTTACAGGGGTAGCACCAGGAGTTGGTCGCAGCAAGACATTTGGAACCTCGGGAAAGTCCAATATATCATACTCTGAGTCAGAATCAGATTTCTCCTTTGGCGCTGAAAGAGATGTCACATGTGTCCCTTCATTTTGTTCCTCCGGTAACGGCAGCTTAGATCCCCCACCAAATTGTTTTGGTCCATCCTGAAAGAAGAAGACAATTTAGGAAAGACAGAGAGACGACTAGGGGCAAAAGAAACCCAAGGCCGTGGATATCTGGAAACAGAGGTCCAAGAAGGGAAAACGAACTTTGACACAGAAAAAACCATGTGGGTATCACTATTATGCACATCCAACTTTGAACATCTTCAATGTGAGTTTCGAGAAACAATTAGATACCTGGAACTTCAGATTCAGTGCCTAACACTAAATACTGGGTTGATGCAAACACAAATAAAAGCACCTAACATATTCTGACCAAACCCATTATATGTAAGCAGAAAAGAGATAATAAAGAAAAACGAAGACAGAAGTACTGACAAGGAGATCTTCATGCGATTTGAAGAGATCAGTTTCTGTAGAAGCAGGGTCCCAATCAAGTTCATGTTCTTCTGCAATTTCCTTGAGAAGTTTCAGTTTAATTTCTGGGGAAGGTGCACGCACAGACAGCAACTCCACCAACTGTAAAATTGATTTGGAAAAGTACAAAAACATGAACAAATATCTTGTTTCTACTAGACTGAACCAAGCAATGAATATTAGCGATTCAGTCTGCAGGTTACATAAAGAATACCAGTGAAAACAAGTTCTACAAATGGACATGTAATCATATAGATTCTTTTTCAGCTGCATACATGATACATCCATCTGTTTTAAGTTTCTATATGCTAGTCTCATCTAAGCCATTTATACCACCATTGAACTCCGAATTACCTTACGATTGACACCAGAATCCAGCTTGAGCTCAGATGCAGCTGCAACAAATTCCTTTCCATACTTGGAAACAAATAGTATCTGGACCTGCTGCAGCTCTGTCAAGTCAGAGCACCTCGGCGCAGCAAAACATACACTTGATATCGCTTCTTTTAGATCCAAAGGACATTCCCTACAAAATTTCAAAAAGAAGGATTCAGAAGAAGCTCAGCAACAAATGATTAAACAGAAGACTCAGAAACAGACAAAAGCCCTAACATTCCCATGTCTAACAACAAACTCATCCAAACTATCATCCTACAAACTAACAAATGCAAGACAAAGAGAACGCTAAAGTGAATAACAGAAAGCAACTGAACAACATCAATGGGCAGACCAAAGATTTCAAAAAGTTAAAACCTTTGTGCCTCAATAATCGGAAGACGAACAGCGATGAGTTCACAGAAGAGCTCAAGAATCTCTTGAGCAGCCATCATCTTCTCTTCCCTTATAATATGCTCAACCTAGTAAAGAAACCAAAGACTTAAAAACAACGTTCCTAATCATAAAACCCAATAAGGCCATGGATAAAAACAAACCCGAATTCGAGCAGTAGCTTCTTGACCAGTCTCAAGAAGCTTAGCAATTTCACGACGCATTTGCTTAATCTGAGCTTCTCTTCTATTCCTGATTAGCTTAATCCTAGGGATCGTTAACTTGAGCAAGGTTTTGCTGTGTAAAAACCACAACACATGATTGATAATCAGAATTAGTAACAAACAAAAACAAAAAAACCAGAGAGAAATTCTTCTTCTAGCTTCTAGATTGATAATCATAAGAGATGATGAAATCAGAGGTTAATACCATTTTGCAGCTTTGAAACCCTTATTGAAGAAGGAATCGAGCATCGACATGATCGATTTTTACTGGTTACGATTTGATCACTGAAGATCGATCGCGAAGCTTTGGAACAGAGAAGATTACAAAGATCCCTTATTGCTTCTCGATGAAGGATTTTTTCTCTGGTTAATATGTTTCGTTTTAAATTATTAAGAAAAAAAAATCAAATCGGAAGAAACGGTGCGTTTTGATTGGTTTACCAAATCAGTGCAATCAAAATTTGTCAAGTGAAGTTATTAGTTAGCAACTAAACCACGTCGGTGGATAATGGGCTTACATATGGGCCTACACTATTGGACTCTACATAGAATCCATCGTTGATGTCTCAGCGCTTTCGACTTTCCATTTTTGTTTGCCATATTTTGCTCTTATTAATCTCCATTTAATCTCTGATTTTCTTGCTAGACGTTAGGGCCCCGCTCACCGCCCGACTAGCACTTAACAGTTTTTTGAACACTAATTTATTTATTTGTTTGTTTGAATCTTAAATTATCTTATTTTTATAGATTAAATGTTATAAAAAAACAGTATTACACTCATAATTTTCGAAATTCATTACAAAGACAACACCCCAAAATTACTTTTGAATTCTTTTGCACAACTGAATAAGACACATAGGTTAAACAAATATAGAGAGTAATGCCGAGTTTACGATTTTTTTTCTACCGGCAAGGTTTTTACTCAGTCATTATCGAAGTTGTAGTAAGACAAGTTACTAACCGAACAACTCCTCTACGGTACCATTCATTAGCCCTGAGACCTATTATCCAGGATCCGCTCCGAAAACAGGATATCCGAGTTGGGCGGATCCGGATAATTAAAAAGCGGATCCAGATCCGGATAATAGAAAAAATTAAAACCGGATATCTGGATCCGAGATATTTAATATAATAATAATATCTTTAATATTTTATTACTATTATTTAAATTTTATTAATAATTTTTATTATCTTTTATATAATAATAATAATTTTAATAATATTTTAATTATTTATATTAAATTATTATTTTGTTATCTTTTTCAAAATTTATATCAATAAAATATTTTTATATAAAATAAATCCGGATCCGTATTTTTACGGATATCCTAAACCCGGATATCCAGGTAGGGCGGATCCGTATCCGAATAATGAAAAAGCGGATCCGGCCCAGGCCTACCATTCATTGGATATGTTTGTTAAATTTTTATTATTTTTTTGGTTCGAATTTAAAATACATAGTATCATTTTTATCATCATATTTATATATGAAAGCGTATTATGCATATTGTTCAGATTGATTTTGTTTTTTTTTTTCTCGATTGAACTAACCGTGTTTGGTTAGTTTGATCTCCTTCAATATGAAAAAAATCTTAACAATATAATTGATTCAAAGCGAACAAGTATAAAAAAAGAAAGTAAAAAACATTACAGATTCTAATTGGTTCACCTATAGGGGTGAACCCAAGAATTATTATTATTCTTGCCTTATAGATTTGAGCGTTTTTAAAGACAAGCAAATGACGTTTTTACTCTTATTGCTTAAAACTCCATCGTCATTGTCATGCTCGCTTCTCACTGTTTATCTTCTCACTGTCTCCCTTACCCACTCGCTTTTCCGACCACAATCCTTACTTCTCACCGTCTTCTCAATCAACACCATCTCATTCGCCTCCGATTCAAAACATATCCGCCACCAACCCCATCTCTTGCGATTAATTCAATAAATTCAATTGACAAATAAAAATTTGATACACAAAAATCGGAATCTCAGTTTTGACACCATGTGAAAAACTCAAACCATGACTTAACCATATGTCTCCATATGTAATTTTTTTTTTGAATGTAATGTTAAATTTTTTTTTTTCTAAATAACGTTTGCACAACAAAGTACATCGTGTGTTTGAACATTTTTTGAGAAAAACTTGAATGTTGAAAGTTCTTAAATAACTCTAAATTTAGTCCCGAGCAAGGAGCCATAGTTGATACGCCTCATCGTACCACCTATCTCCCATTATTCGGATCGTTGAAATTTGGTTTCTGATTTGTTAGTCTATCCATCCCGTGATGAGAGCTCCTGAATGTGGTTGTTCACCGTGCCTACGACCATTCCTCTCCCTCTAAATCATATAAATAGTGGCTTGAAAGACATACCTATAGAGAAAACTCTCTACACGATCTTGTTAATGATTAGAGATGTGATCAATGAGTTGGGACCAATCTGTTGTGTAGTTTGCTTTGAAAATACCCTTTGCAAAGAGCCGCCCAAATTTCAGAAGCTAAACACATGAGAAGAAAAGATGGTCTCTAGTTTCCGTGCAAGTCTTACAAAAAATACAGATTCCTAGGAGCCTCTATATGTAATTTAAGTTTACATCAACCACAAAACCATGACTTGAATCCATATCTTCTTTTTCTCCATCTCCCAAAATTTGATCAAGTGTTTTAAGAACCAAAACACATATATTTGATCAAGTTTTCTAATAGCCAAAACACATAAATTTTATGCCAAAACACTTAAAGTTAAACAAATAAAAACCCCAAATGAAGTTCTACCACTGGAAATAGTAAAAATTAAGAATCCCAATTGAGTTTCTTAACTTTTGAATTTGCAAAATTAAAATTATAAATATTGGTCAGAACCCAGAAAAGATTTTTACCATTGGAGATGTTCTAATGTTTTTTATTGGTTGTCTTCAAAATGAGAAAAGTATTGCTTAGCATCACTTTATTAACATCATTTATTAGCAACTAGTGTTATAGCCCGTGCGTTGCACGGCCCTTTTTCAACATTTTGGATCTTTCTTTATTTTGGGCCATCGTTAAATTTTCTTTGTAGTATTGCTGGGCTATTGGACTACTATATTAGTTTATTAAAAATAAAAATAAATAAAAAAACAGAATAGCAGACGCAAAAAATTGCTTCGAGAGTGATAATCATTTTTGCAGCTCATTCACAAAAAAAATTCTTCGATTTCTCTTTTTTTTTTTTTCTGATTGTTCATCCTAAAATTTGCGTTTGTTTTCCTTCACTAAATCCTATTTATCTTCTAATATGATTCTCGTCTCCTTAATTTTGGCGTCTGCGTCTCCGTCTCCGGTCGAGTTGAATCATCTAGAAGCTGTTTCGATTTCGGCAAAGCTATTTGGTAAGAAATCCGAGAAGCAATAATAATAACATCTGAAATCCTAAGTCCTAAGAAAAAGTGAGAATCCTAAATCCTAAGTCCTAACATAGTAAAATAAGAGAGACGACAGTTTTAAGTACAATCATTTATTTTCCTTCTTAATCTGAGCCTTGGACATTAGCTTAGGCTTCGTTGATGATTGTTGAACATCTTTAGATGTTGCCAAGGATCTTTTAGCTGTAGGCTTTGGAGTGGAAACGTTATAAGCGTTGTCTTCATTGTTGTCTAATTTTTCCACATCAACAAAGTTAATTTCAGCCTGCAAGAAAAGATAAAAATAAGTAATAGTAAAAGGATATGGATAAGTGATAAATTGAGTTTACAACCTGAGTTGAGGTCCCGATTGAAGTCCCCACTGAATTTCCAGAGACAGTGATTATTTCTTGTTCAATAGCATTCTAAAAGCAACAAACAAAAGCAAATAATAAGAATTGAATATACTAATGGATCATATTTAAATTTCACTTATTTTGTATACTTACCAAAGTAGAAGCACTTTCAGAGAAACTTTGAATAACATCGGGAACATCAGTAAGACTTATAACTTTGTATGTAGAAGATTGGTTATACTTTGCCTCATCTTTAACCATGATTTTGAAAACATAATTACGACCGTCTAGATCAAGCAGTTCTTGAGGTGTTTCACCGGAACGATTAAACTATATTATTAGAGAGGATTAAAAAGCCTATCCTTATATTACTTGCAAAGTAAATCAATGATAATGAAGAACGGTAATTAGAAAAAGAGAAAATGAAAGTACCAGAACTTGTTGCTCAAGCAATTCATATGCTGATTTTTTTATGAGTGGAATGACCACGTCGTTGAATAAAATCAACGAAGCACTACCTGTGTTATCTGTTGCTTTGACAAACAATTTAAACCTAGAAGAATAGATATGCTTCAGAAATACCCAAATCAATTATGAAAATAGATTAACATGTGTATGAATATGAAAATCGTAAAATACCTGGGTTGTGTCGTGGTTATCTGTTTACCGCATTTCTCACAAGAATACTTATCAAATTCTATTTCTTCAGTTTCAGGGTTAAAATATTGTTTTGCTTTAGTAAAGCAAAGCGTGCAACCGATGTAAAACCAAGCTTTTTGGCTCCAGAGAAATTGATGCAAGTATATTGCAGGTCATCACTTAGGTTTTAAGAATGAATATGTTCAGTCGATAGCTAAAAAAAGTGGTGGATTCATAATTATGTATTAAATTCTTACTTGGTTAGTTTCCATGAGTTCGATGATTGTTTTTCTTTTAGATAAGTGAAATGACTGTTTGGAAATATGAGCCGACTTTGAAGATATTATTTCAGTAATAGCTAATCTTGGTTCTTCGTTGCACAACCTATAACAGAAAAATATTTGCGTTTAAAAGCTGAAAATATAAGCTAATGAAACAGGACGAAACATATATTATGTATATTTACTTACGCTTCTTGAAACTGAAGAATCTCTGGTAGTGGAGAATTGATATAAGCTTTTGTTGTAAATTTTGAGCTTTCAACTGTGCCTTTACCTGGAAAAGAAAAATTCAAAAGTTAAATGTTTTATACATCTTAACACTCTTTTTCTCAATGATACGTTTAAGAATACGTATACCTTGATATAGCAAAGTCTTCATCAAACTTCCAAGAAAAACAACAGGACCTGATGGTTGGGATTTAATATTAGAGTAGACATCTTCTGCAAGTTTACCCCATAAGGCAACATCAATAAGTGAATCCCTGAGAAAGAAAAAGAATTGTTTAAGAAACATCAATAAGCGAGTCTCTTCTGAAGATTTCAAACATGAATAAAGGATGAATTTTAAAATTACCCAAGATCTTTAAGCTGAAGATTAAGCAACTTTGTTGGACCTTCAGCAGTAGTGATACTCTTAACTTCATTCATCCCAACAATCTCACCAATAATGTCTGCAAATTTGGAAAATTACATTGAGAAATAACTTATAGATGAATAGGAAAAATAAAAGTGGTGGAGATAACGTACCAATGAATATAGTATCATCATTTCTTCTTGCTAATATCTCAGGAAAAGGACATAAGTTGAAACACGCTTCTAGATTAGGAATCTCCTCGCTTGGTTTAACACATGTGTAGAATATGAAATTGATCTTGTAAGGATGGTCACAACTCCGAAATTTTCCTAGATTTGGGCATAATTCAAAGTTCATAAGAACACAACATTTCCCTTCTTTTAAGTCCTTCTGAAATTTATCGAGTAATTTTCCTTTTACAGAAGCTTGTATCCTACTTCCCTGTTTCAAAATAAAACGTAAAACGTATCACAGAGTTGTTATAAAAAATGCTCATCCAATTATCACATCTCTCTCTCTATCTTTTAACATAACAACATTACATAACAAAGCATTCATGTTTTTGTTCAATAGATTCTCGCCTCTTTCCACTTACAACTAAATAATTCAGCTAAGACAGAGGCTGTTTTTGTAAAGTGAATTCACGACTAAACAACTCAATATTTCAGCAAAGTAAATAATTCAGCAAACTAAACCATACAATTATCACATCTCTCTGTCTCTTCTAACATAACAACATTACATAACCAAGCATTTGTCTTTGAATTCAATAGATTCTCGTCACTAAATAATTCAGCAAAGTAAATAATTCAGCAAACTAAACCGTGTTATTATCACATCTCTCTGTCTCTTCTAACATAACAACATTACATAACAAAGCATTTTTGTTTGAGTTCAATAGATTCTCGTCACTAAATAATTCAGCAAACTAAAACATCCAATTAGCATACCTTTTCATCCACAATGAGAAGATCAATTCCTGTAAATTCTTCTGGTTTATTCTTTTTTGGAAAACCCCAAAGACGGACAATTCGAACATTGATTTTACATGGATCAGTGCCTAAAGTTAATTGGGAAATAGGTGTAATGTCGAGCGGCATATCTGCAAATCAAACACACAAAAAGAAATAAGATACTTTAATTGAGATGAAGTGGAAGAAGATTAGAATGATGGTTTTTGATGAATAAGTGACATGCAGATTGATCACGATTGAATATTGAACTAAAAAGTTTGCAAAAGGCAATATCTTAGATTAGAATCACATAAAAAGGTAAGCTCTTTGGATCAAAGGAAAAAAAGCTTTCATATAATAGCCCAAAATTCTCCAACGGAGTATACTTTGATTGAGATGAGGTGGGAGAAGATTAGAGTGATGGTTTTTGGTTCATAATCAAAAATAGTTGAAAAGCTTACCTTTGATTCAAATCAAACGACGGAGGCTCAGTAGAGATAGGGAGAAATTGAGAAATACACCGTTCAATTGATTGAGAAATTGAGAAATCATTGGTTTTTGCTCTCAGAAATCGGGGAATAAGGGTGAGAAGTAATCTGAAAGGAATATTGATTTTGAGAGATCTGAAACCTTTTTGTAGTTCCATTGTTGAGAAGTGGAGATCGATTTGGAGATCGTGGGAGAAGAAGGTTTTGTCGAGATGCGGTTGTGTCGTTCAGAAAAAGGTTTTGTCGAGATTTTTTTTTGTTTTATTTAAAATTAATTAAAATTTAATTGTTTTAAAAGCTGAAAGATAAAAAATTGGGACTTAAGCCAGGTGTCATATAGAGGATGTTGCAGTTACTTGAAAATTTACTTGTGATTTATTAGATAAGGATGTAAATGACGCAATTTAATTATTTAATATATTAAATCATGAGATCATGATGACGCAACAACGTTAACGTGTATCCAAACTAAAACCCTAACTTAAACTGCTATTGAACCTTTTCGCGTTTAAATCCAGGATCATACATTTAAAGTTAAGAACAAACATACATATACATAACATAAATACAGATAGCAACAGGTCCGAAATTGGATTGTAGAAAAAGCAATTTTATCATAAAAGGCTGGGAGAAACAACGGAAAGATACCCTTCGTTATCTTAATTTTTCTTTGGCCGGTGCGTGGGAAAATAGTATGAAACTATTATACCGGAGGGAGCTGGTCCACTGGATTGGCTGTTCCGGACTGATCAACCTTCGGGGGCATGTTCTTTGCAAAAGAGCGGTACATAACGAAGAAGAACCAAAAAAGGTAGAGAGTAGCAATAACGAGAGCAAAGATGGGGAAAATAAGGGAGACGAGCATGTCTGCAGCGAAAACGCCGAAGAGATGGCTGAAGTTTCCAACGCAGTAATAGATAAGAGCTTGGTTTCTTCTGAACTTTACTTCGCAGACTAGGAGGACGAAGTAGATCATAAAGACCACCAAGAAACCGCGTAACGTGTCAATACGAACTCCTGCATTTGTTGGGATAATCTGGAGCAACCCAATAAGCACTGCGAATGCAGTAAAGATGACCGTGTGAATGGTGGAGGAGTACAAAGCATAATCCTCCACCGTTTTCTCATTACCCAACGCTAATTTCTGAGGAAGTCGACATGGTTGGTTAGTTTTTGATTTGCGTGTGCATGCATACTTTATATGTATAGTTGAGAAAATCATAATTTTACCATCAATTATGTTTTATGTTAGTGTCGCTTTTTAAACGAAGCGAGAGTTTTAGTCTTCTGGAATCACTTCTATATAACGATGCTAAAGGAAGTGAACTTAGCATCACTTTCTAATTTCTATGACTGACGAAATTCAATTTAGTATAATTGATTTATTGTTAACTTCGTTTTTATAGTCAACAGTCAACACAATCAAATTTTGTAGCATGCGTGTGCCTATTTGCAGTTAAATTAAAAAACCATAAATTTTAGCATCACTTATGTTTTCATATTAGCTAGTGTCGCTTTTATATATAACGACGCAAGTGTATTAGTGTTTTGGAATCACCTCTATAAACGACGCGAAAAGAAGTGAAACTATCACTTTTCTATAACCAGACAAAATTCTAATTTAGTATCATTAATTTATTGTTACTTTCGTTTCTGTAATTAATACTACTAGTTAATTTGATCAAGAAACAAAGACAAACCTGTGTTAGTTGGGACAGATCTCCAGTTTCCAGGACCATGTTCTTGGATGTAAGAAACCAAGATGATGTCTTCCTCTGGTGTCCATGGTCCTTTCTTCACTCCAATCTTTTCACAGCAAGGTGGTCTTCCCATTTTTTTCACCTATTGAAAGGGTTTTGATGAGATATTAGAACAAAAGCTAATCGTTGCGGGTTTGTTGAAAAACCTTTGGAAATCTTAGGGTTAAGACAAAGAAAGTCCAAATGGGTTTGGTTTTGTCTGAAGAAGTGGATGAGAGATGTTGGTTATATTTATAGAAAAAAGTGAGTACGATTGATATGTGAGAGAGGAAAAGAAGAGTTAATTAGTAAGTCATTAATAAAATAATGGAATGAGAAGCAACAATAATGAAGAGGCTAGCTTTCAAAGAGTCAACATGGACAGCAAAATGCATTTACTATCCAAAGTCAGCCACTCAGCCTTCTTCTTCTATCTCTCTCCTTCTTTGGACTAGAAAATGACCCACGCGTTGTGTGGGTTTAGTAATATATTATATTTTTATAGGAGTCAAATTTTTATAATTATAACAGTTGAAGAAGATAACTCTAAACGTTAAAAATTTGACTAATATCTGTAAAAAAATGTATATTTGATATTTTTTAGACAATTTGGTTTTTTTTTTTTAATTGCATAATCTAATGTATAATTACACTTAAAAAGTTTCTATGAAAATATTAGTTTTTTTTTCATAACACTTACACATCTAACACTTAAATAAGGTTATTGATCTTCATCCGTGATAGAGTCATTAAGATTTCAGACCACTCTCTAGCCTACTATTTTTTTGTGATTTCAAACCACTATTTGGCTTAGTGTTGTTCTTATTTTGAGTTATTAATTTTGTGATGCAAACTTAACATCGTCTTGTCAAATGTAAACATAATATACTTTAAATATGTTTTTTTTACCAAATTTTTGAGTTAAAAAACATTGGATTTAAATGAGAAACTCTCAAATGTGTTTTTCTATTTGATTATGTTATAGAGTTGTAGTTCCACTTGAGATATATGTTACATAATTTACATATCACTTTTTTTAGTTAACAACTTACATATCACTTTAAGTATATTTTGTTATAAAACTCATGGATAATATAACCATTATTATTATTAATTTTATAGAAGATAGATTATAACGTTTTTGAATTTTCATGATTTGTTTCTATAATTTTTTTGTCATCAATTTGTTTGTGTAGTTTCACAAAAAAGTGTGACTCTTTCAATGTCTTTGTCTTAAATGAAAAATTTTAAGTTCAGTTTAGTAACTTTTTTTAGTGAACATTTAATAATAAAGAAAATCTTGTAGTATATTGCTCTTATAAATTAATATTTCAATTTAAATTTTATTTTTCTCTTTAAAATTGTAGAAACACAATTACGTATAAAAATTTTACTCTACCATGCATTTAAATATGACTTCCATTCTAAACTCATTAACTTATTCAAAAAATATGAAGTATGATCATTTTAAATTTTGTTTATGTTAAAAGTTGAATTATATTATTATTATTGATATAAATGCCATAGTATTACTTTCACAATTTTAAAATTTGATTTATTATATTTAATTCGTTTTTCTTTAATTAAAATTTCTATTAGTTATAACTAACATCAATATAAATAAATATGAATTAAATGAACATTGTAATTATATTTTAATGTAAAAATTAGAAAATATTGAGTAATGACATGGCTTTGTTTAATTGGATGTTTAACATGATGATGTGGACACCTTAAGAAGAGAGAAAACTCTCTCATTATATATATAGATTAACATTTTTAGCATCCCTATCAGTTAATACAAATGATGCTAATCATCAGTTTACAATAACACTCTTGTCTTTTATATTTGCAATGATCAAGTGATTTTGTGGGTTTTTGTAATATTGGTGCAGGCTGCAAAAGTGCAGTTTGTTTGTGGGTTGTTATAGAGCAGTTTGTTTGATGTTAAACGGTGTCATGTATTGGCCTCTGTGTGATTTTATTACATTCAAGTTCTTCCCACTTCATTTACAGATATGTATGCTTGATTACTTCCACTTTATTTTCAATTTAGCCTCACGTACGTTGATTAACTTTTTGGTTCAAA